GGTGGGCGTGAATCTCGGTCTGGCTGTCTGGATGTGGAGAAGGGTGAGTCCTGTGTACAGCCCCCTCTCCCGTGGGAAGGCCCCCACGTCTTCCAGGCAAAGCCCCCAGGATCCTGTTGGGGGTCCCGCCGCAGCCTGAGCCCCCTCCCCACCTGCCCCCCAGATTGCTCCATCACGAAGTTCCTGAACCGCATCCTGGGGCTCGAGGTGCACAAGCAGAACGCACTCTTCCAGTATTTCTCCGACACCTTCGACCACCTCATTGACGTGGACAAGAAGGAGGGCAAATACGACATGGGCATCCTGGGTGAGGGCCGCAGGCCACAGCCTCCCGGGGCAGGGAAGGGCCAGGCCCGGCCGCGGCGGCGATCACCTGCCCCGCGAGGGCCCCGGAGGAGGACTCGGGGCAGGGGGTGGGGACTGCGGCAGCCCAGGCTGCCCCCCACCAGGACCAGAGAGTTTTATTTGGATGTGAGGGGGGTCAGCATGCTTGGCACGTTTGCTCTCCTTACCCCGAGGGACCCTGACGGCGGACACCCCACACGCCAGGCCCTCACCAAGGATGCCAGGGACCAGGGGCCACGAGCCCTCCTGAGAGACCAGAGTCTGTATGTTCAGCTTTAGGGATGAGTCCTTATCTGAGGGTTCAGCTTGGCCACGGTAGTGAAAACACAAACTATTGGAAGATGAATGGCTACAGCTACCTGCCAATAAAACTTTATTTATGAAATCAGTGGCAGGTAGAGTTTGCTGACTCCTGCATAGCCAGCCTCATAGGAGCCTTGCAGAGCAGGGGCCCTGAGTGCATGTTGTCTGTACTCACACCTGGTGAGGGTGTCCTCGGGGTGGGGGGGGGCCGCTGCGGATCCCAGGCCACCACTGGAAGGGCCACTTGCCTTCTGGAGTGCTGGATGGGGTTCGGGTCCGGGCCGTCTCAGCCGGGCAAGCCTCCCCTGCACTCCCTAGTGGGCCTGTCTGGGGCGTCCCCGAGAGCTGGACGGACAGCTCCCTAAAGCCCCCAGGCGGTCGGATCTCACCCCTGCACGTGCTCTGCAGACCTGGCCCCCGGCATCGATGAGATCTATGAGGAGAGCCAGCAGGTTTTTCTCGCGCCCGGGCACCCACAGGACGGGCAGGTGGTCTTCTATAAGGTGAGTAGGCGCTGAGCCACCCAGTGCGCGCAGGCGCGGCCCCAGCGCTCCTCGCCCCACTCTGAGCCCACGCGCTCTTGCAGATCAGTGTGGACCGTGGCCTGAAGTGGGATGAGGCTTACGCCAAGTCCCTGGAGCTGACGGGCCCCCACGATGGCTTCTACCTCTCCTACAAGGTGGGTGTCTCTAGGCCCCCAACGCGTCCCCAGGGCCGGGGCCCCAGCAGAGTTGTGAGGGGACGGAAGGGGCAGGGAGGGGAAGGCAGCGTCCCCCACCTCCCCGCCTCCCGCACCCCTGCCCAGGTCCGGGGCAACAAGCCGAGCTGCCTCCTGGCGGAGCAGAGCCGCGGCAAGCACTTCACGGTGTACAAGCCCAACGTGGGCCGGCAGAGCCAGCTGGAGACCTTCGACAGCCTGTGCCGCAAGTTCCACTGGGTAGGAGCCGCTGCCGGGCTGGGCGTGCCCGTGCCCCCTGGCGCATGCGCCCCCCTCACTGCAGGTCCCCTAGCCGCAGCTCGGTACCCAGCTCACCCAGCCACCGGCGCAGCACAAGCCGGCCTGGGGCACTGTGGACCTTAGTTTCCTGCTTGTGTGCTGGGAATCGTGGATGGTGGCTCACGTGGCCGTGTGTGTCCCCAGGTGACAGCAGAGGAGGCCAGGGAGCACTGGGAGAACAGCTACGCCTTCTCGCTGACGCACTGCAGCCACACGGCATGGTGAGGGCTGGGCGTGGGCTGGGGGCGCCGCTCGCCGTGGCTTTGCTCGGCCTGGCCCTGCCCTCTCTGCAAAGCAGCTGCACAAGGAGGGACCCTGTGCGTGGCACAGGGCAAGAGGGGGCCTGTGGGCGCCTGGGGTGCGCGGGGACCGCGGAGGCGGCGGCACAGAGACCCTGGACGGGAGCAGAACTGGGTGTGGGGGAGGAGCGTGGAGCCCGTGGATGCGAGCCTCTCCTCCCCCCCGACCGCCCCCAGGAACCGGCACTGCCGGCTGGTGCAGGAGGGCAAGGACTGCGTCCAGGGCCTGCGGCTGCGGCACCACTACATGCTGTGCGGGGCCCTGCTGCGGGTGTGGGGCCGCATCGCCGCCGTCATGGCCGACGTCACCAGCAGCAGCTACCTGCAGATCGTGCGCCTCAAGACCAAGGACAAGAAGAAGCAAGTCGGTGAGCAGGTGGGCACGCCGGGGAGGGGGTGGGGGGGGAAGCGTCGCCACCGCGAGGCCCTGACCCGCCGCCCGGCCCCCAGGCATCAAGATCCCCGAGGGCTGCGTGCGCCGCGTGCTGCAGGAGCTGCAGCTCATGGACGCTGACGTCAAGCGCAAGCAGGCGAGGGGCCCCGGCGTCCCCGCGCCGCCCCCAGCCCTGCGCCCACTCCAGCTGCCCTGCGGCCCCGGCGAGGTCCTGGACCTCACCTACAGCCCGCCGGCCCAGGCCTTCCCGCAGCCCCCGCCCTTTGCCTTCCCACCCCCGCCCCCGGACCCCGCGCCGGCGTCCGGCGGCCTGCCGCTGGGCGCCCCGGACTGCACGGCCGACGCCGCGGCCTTGGCACACCAGCGCTCTGACATCAACTTTAAGGAGGTACTTGAGGAAATGCTGCGCTCCTTCAATGCTGGGCCGCCCCCCGGGCCCCCTGGGCCCGGCGCCGGGGCAGCCGGAGCGCCCGGGGGCAGCGGGGGTCCCGAGCGGCAGAGCGTCATCCAGTTCGGCCCCCCCTTTCCCAACTCGTAGGCCCGGCAAGCGGCCCACAGCCGGTGTCCGAGAGGAAACTTATTTATCTGCAATACGCACCACGTCTGCATGGACTCAATCTTCTCTCCTGCCGACGTGGGGGGTGAGCGGGGGCCCAGGTTCCCCCTCTGACTCCCGGGGGAGGGGCTGCAGTGCCCCCCCCGCCCCCAGCTTCCGGAGGCCTCCACTGCAGTGCCTTCCCTGCCCGCCCCTCCGGGCCCTCCCAGGCAGTGCAGGTCCCACTCAGGACGACTTGGGGTCTAGGCTTGGGCAGGGCCCGAGGGTGGGGGGCGCACCCTCCCTCTGTCCTCTCCTGCTCTCCAGGCCTAGGCAGGGGCTCCCCACCCACCCTCCAGGGCCTGGTCTGACCAGACACCCTGCAGTCCACAAAACTGGGTGGCCCCAAGAGCTGGAAACTCAGGAAACCCCAGGTGCTCAGGGCCCTGCCTTCTCTGGGGGACTCCATGGGACAGACCCCACCCCCCATTAATATATGCAATTCTCCCCCACTCTTTGCTCCCTAAATTATTGTCCAGCCACCTCTCCCAGGCCCCAGAATCCGCCATGGAGCTGGCGGAGTGGGTGGGCTCCGGGTTTCTATGTGTATTTATAATTAATTCAAATGTACATATGTAAAGAGATCTTTTTTAAATATATGTGCCTTTTCACTACTTCCCAGATGGTCTACTTTTCCTGCCCGAAGAGACCGTGGGGAGGGGGAAGGCGCTGCGCATCTCCCCCGGGAGTGTTTGGCAGATGCCCACGGTGGTCACGCTCAGGCCAGGGGGGTGGGGGGCTGCTGCCCATGGGGAGGCCTAGGGCCAGGCTGGAGGAGACCGGCCCACAACATAAGAGGCCATTGTTGACTGACTGCCTGGCACCCGCATAGCGGGCCAGCTGCCCAGGGACCAGACACTGGCCGCCTCCTGCTTGCTAGGGAGACCTCCCCCCCACCCGACGCTCACGTTGGTGGCTCTCAAGACCCTGCCCTGGCACACTGCCCAGGTCCCTCAGACTGTTGGTTTGGGTGGGCGGGGTCGCCCAGGGCAGGAGGGCCCAAGAGTGCGGCGCACTTGGGAAGGCAGGGATGAGTGCCAGGCCTTTCCGGAAGCCACAGGAAGCACACTGACTGGGTCTGGCCCTCAAGTTAGAAGGGTCTCCTGCCGGCCAGGATGTGGACAGGTGAGGAGCCGGGAGCCCCTAGCTCTTGGGGGGCTGGGGTTCTCAGCCTGGTTACTGCAGCCATCCAGCCCCATCCCTCCGCTGCTGCCCTTGACTGCAGACACTGGAAATTGGGGCATGGGGGGGGGGGCGCGGATGGGACGGACTCAGCAGCCCTCCAGCCACGCCGTCTCCCACCCCTTGCCAGGATGGCCTCGGGTGGCTACAGGCAGGAAGCCTGTCTGCACAGCCTCCCAGGCCCCCCACACCTCAGGTGGGGTTGCTCTGCGGGACCACGGCCTCAGGCCATTCCGACACCTCCTGAGGGGGAGGGGTTGAAGGTCTTACCCCCGCACCCCCGCTGGTGAGGCCGTGGGCAGGCCCGGGTGCCCTGGCTCTGTGTCTGACAAAGAGGCCAGTCTATTGCATAGGCCGTGCCTGGCATGGCTCTGTACCCAGAGCAGCTTGGCCTGAAGCTCAGCCCACCCCATGTGCCCAGTTCCCCCAGTGGGCAGAGCCAGAAAGCCCAGTCCCCATCAGGGACTGGGGAAGGCCGGCCCCAGCAGGCGTGAGCAGCTGTCCCCCAGCAAGCTAACGCCCTAAGCCAGGAGCAACAACCGGCGGTAATTCCTGTTATCGGGCACAGAGTCAGCAGTGGGCGGAGCCGCTCAGATTAGTGGGGCCTCAGGGCAGATCAGCCCTAGGAACCAAGAGGAACTCAACTCAGGTTGGGGGAACTACCACCACCCACCTGGCCCTGAACCAGAAAGGCCCCAGGGCAAAAGGCCCCCAGCCTGCCCCCCAGGCCCACCCCAGGGAGGCAGGAACCCACAGCAGGCCAATTTGTAGGTTTTATTCCCACAAGGTAACCAGGGGTGGCGGGGCGGCGGGGCGCCAAGCGAGCCAGGCCGAGGAACCTTCGTCCGGCAGGGGGTGCACGCCGGGTTCTCGGGTCTGCCCCACCAGCGGGCTGGTTTTCAGGCGGACCGTCATGGGTGCCGGGTGGAAGGCTCCAAGGGGCAGGGCAGGGGCTGGGGAGGCGCATACTTGTGGAGCTAGAGATAGCAAGGCAAGTCCTTCTCGATCACCTGTCGGGGAGAAGGGGCGGTCAGGGGAGGCTTCTTCCCTTGCCCCCCAACCCTCGGCGGGCTCCCTGGAGAGGAACCTACCAGGGGCTCTTCCATGGGGCCGTAGCGCTTCACCACACAGCCGTTCTTGTCAATGAGGAACTGCAAGAGGAGCCGCGTCAGAACGGGGACAGCTTGGGTTTGGGGGGTGGGGGCTGCCATGGGGGCCGGGACCCAGCAAGCTTGCTACCCCGTTTGGGCCAGGGCTGGAGCCTCTTTGGGCAGCGCACTGAGCTGTGGCTGGACACGGTCCCAGGCTGTCCCCCCTTCCCCTAATGCCCAGCCTCCTCTTACCTTGGTGAAGTTCCATTTGATGGCACTAGAAAACAAACGTGACATGAGGAATCGTGTGGCGACTGCAGAAACCCCCCTGCCCCCCGCCTTCGGTCCCCAACTCACTTTCCCAAGATGCCCCTCCCCTTGGGCTGCACTTTCATCCACTTCCACAGCGGGTGAGCGTCGTCCCCGTTCACACAGATCTTGCTGAACATGTCGAATTTGACGTTATAGCCAGCAGCGAACTCTTTGATCTCAGCGTTACTTCCTGGCTCCTGGGGCAGAGGCATTGGGCTGAGTGAGGGCAAGCCTGTGCTCCACCGGCCTCCGCTTCCACAGTCCAGACCCCCCACACACACCCACCCACCCGAGCCTCGCCCATCCCGACACAGGGACACCCAGGGACACCGCAGGCCACGTACCTGCCTCCCGAACTGGTTGCAAGGGAAGGCCAGGATCCGTAAACCAGACTCAGCATATCGGGCGTGCAGGTCGACAAGCTGAGTGTAGTTTACGTCCGTCTTGCCTCATTGCGAGGCCACGTTAGTGACTATGCACACGAAGCCCCTGGAGGAGAGATGGGGCGGTCAGGTCAGGACCATCGACCTTTCCCCTGCCTCTCCCACTGGGCAGCTCTGTACCCACCGGTACTTGTCCAGGTTAACCATGCGTCCATCGATGTCCTTGGCCGAGAACTCGTGCATGGACTGAGCACAGCGCCAGTCGTCTCGGGACGCACACTGTAAGGCAACGGCGCCATGAGGGGCCTGTGACCTCGCTGCCACCTGGCCCGCTCGCCAGCTCGGGGTCCCCGGAGGAAGGGCTTTCCAGACGGATCCGCTCCGAGAAAGCCAAGTCCCCGGGGCAAGGAAAACCTGAGGGCTCCTCCTCGGAGGCGCCCGCCCTTCGCGCTGCAGGGCACAACTGACAGAACACCGAAGCCAAAAGAGGGTCTGTCACCCCGCCAGGCGGTGCTCCGGCGGCGCGTGGGGGGACCCCGCGCGCACCGGGTCCCGGGAATTGGCGCTGCGGCCGCTCTCCCGGGTCGCGAGCTCGGCCTGCCCAGGTCTCGCCTGCCCTGCTCTCTCGAGACGCGGCTCCTTCCGTCGGGGGCGCGCCCTCTTGCGCCCGCAAGCCCCAGCCTTCCGCCGCGGGGGAGCTCGGCGCCGCCGCCTGACTGGCAACCGGCGCCGTTGCCCGCGGCGACCCGGGCAGCCGGCGGCTGCGCGGCCCATGCCGGACCGTCCCCGGCCGCGCCTGTGCCCACCGAGGGCCGCGCCCGGTGGGACAAAGGGCCGGTAGCCAGGGGACCCGGCCGCCAGTCTGTGACGCCACCGCCTGGGGCCCAGGGGCGCACGGGGCGGGGGAGGGGCAGTGACGCCGCGCGGCGCGTGACCCGGGGTTTCCAGCCCACCGGGCGCCTCCCGTTCGCCGGGCCCCGACCGGGGGCGCCGGGGGCCGAGGGCGCCCAAGCCCCACAGCCACCTCGGCACAGCCCGGAGGCACCGAACGGGGGTCCCGCCTGCCCAGGCCCGCTCCCGAACGTCCCCCGCCCGAGTTCACCGCGGCCCCGCGCGCCCGCCCAACGGCCCGCCGGCCCGCCGCCCGCGCCGCGCTCACCATGGCGCCGGCCAGGCCGGGGGCGGCCAGGGCTCCGCACAGCAGCGCCGGCTTCAGCAGGCGGCACAGGCGGCTGAGGCTCATCGCGGCGGCGGCGGGGGCGCCGGAGGCAGCGGCTCCTCCCCTCGCCGAGCCGACCAATGGACGCGCGCCGGCCGACGTGGCCTCCCCGCCCCAGGCCACGCCCACCAGAGCTCTCATTGGTCCCACGCGCCGGCGGGGCGTACGTGTAGCCACGCCCGCCAATGGGAGGCCGGGGTGAGGGGCGGGCCGGGGCCGGGCCGCGGCTCCGCGGCTGTCGGAGACTGCGCATGCGCGCCGGCGGGCGGGCGGGGTTGGGGGTGCGGCGGGGTCCGCGCAGGCGGCGCGGTGACAGGTTCAGGACGGTTATCGGGGTGGTTGACCTCAGCGCTGCGGATGCCTGACAACTTGAGATACTACTGGAAACCTATGGCGGGGGCTCGAACTCGCAGAAACATCGCCTCAGCTCTTTGACACTGGAGGTTTTCCTTTAAAAGTGAATGAAATCATTCGGATCAGACTCCTGCTCCCTCCCTCGAGACCGCGGTGTCGCTGCGGGGGCGCCCCTCTCGTGGGCCCGGCAAAGGCCGGGGACCACCCAGCGGCGAGCGCCCGCCGTTACCGGGGGCGCGTGAGCTCGGGGCCACCAGCCAGGTGACGGTTAGCGGGCGGCCGCGAGGACGCGCAGGTGTGTGCGGCAGGTGTGTGCGGCAGGTGCGTGCGGCAGGTGTGTGCGGCAGGTGTGTGCGGGCGCGCGCCCGGGGGGCGGGGGGCTGGCCTGCACCCGGTGCAGCTGTGGCCCCCGCCCCCCCCCCCCCGGGCTCGGCATTCGTTCGAGTCGGTGCAGAAGACAGAACCGCCCGCTCTTGGGAATTGAGCCAAGGAATTCCTCAGCGGCCCGGCCGCCCGCCCCCAGCCCAGCCCGGACTTCGACCCGTGGACGAGCTCGTGCCGCAGTGCACCCCTCACCCCTTCTCGGACTGTCCCGTGAGCGTTGCTGCAGAGACCCCAGAGGCAGGACTCTCTGGGCTTGTTCGCTTGGGGGGCGCCAGTGAGACCCCCCCTTCTCTGCCTCCCACCCAGGCTTGCCAACGGGCAGAGCGAGGGCCCTTGCCCCCCCGCCACGCTTCTTCGTGATAGAAGCCCCGGAATGAGGAAGTCCACCCCAGGGCCCAGGCCGAGTCTTGCACAACGGCCTTCTGGGGCCTCCTCCCTCCAGCCCTGCCACGAGAGGCCCACTTCTCTGAGTCCGGTCTTCGAAGGCGCCCCCATAGTCCCTGCTGGCAGCCTCACTTCTAAAGAAGCCCCCCCCTCCCCCCTGTATTTCTTCCTCCCTGGAAGGACCCGGTGTCGGGGCCACAGTGCGGAGCGAGCCCGTCTGGCCCTGGGGAAGACTGCCATTTTCACTTTTGCTGCAGTTGTGACCTATTACTTTTTTTTTTTATGTTTTTTTTTATTTATTTCTAGGAGAGAGAGAGAGACAGCGTGAGCAGGGGAGGGTCAGAGAGAGAGGGACTCACAGACTGAAACAGGCTCCAGGCTCTGAGCTGGCAGTCAGCACAGAGCCCGACGCGGGGCTTGAACCCACAAACCGTGAGATCAAGACCTAAGCGAAAGTCGGACGCTTAACCGACTAAGCCACCCAGGCGCCCCATGACCTATTACTTTGTGTGTCATAAGGATGGCCCCCAAGGCGGTTCGTTCTCACAGGGTGGGCCAGGAAACAGCTCAGGGCGCTGCCCTTGGAGGGCTCCCCCCCGTCCCGCCCCCCCCCCGGGGGGAGAGCGAGGAAGCAAGCTGGCAGCACCCACGTCCTGCGATGGCCAGAGGAGGAGAGAAGGAGCTGTGGCTGCTGGTGGGGGGTCTGCGCCCCCGGCCTCGCAGCTTCTGCAGGGACTCAGTCTCACCGAGGGGCCACGGAGCTTTGGGAAAGTCTCAGCGCTCCAGGAAGGCTTCCTTGGGGTGGCCTAAGTTCCTGTGTGTCCCCCGTGAGGGAGCTGAGGTGGCCACTGGCCAGAGGCCTTTCCAAGTGGAAAGTTTTTTAACTGAGATAAAGTTCACATAAAATTCGCGGTTTTAGCCATTTTAAAGGGTACGTTGTTTTTTAGTATATTTTAAATGTTGTACAACCATCACCACTAGGTAATTCCAGAACATCCCATCACCCCAAGGAAACCCAGTCTCCATCAGCAGTCACTCCCTGTCCCTTCCCCCCACCCCCCGCCCGTACGAGCCCCCTCCCGGGGGTGGAGGAGCCTGTTCTGGACGTTTCACAACGCGGACTCGCACCCCACGTGGCCTCTCATATCTGGTTCCCTCCCTGAGCGTCATGTGTTCAGGGTCCGTCCAAGGGGCAATGGGTGTGGGCGCCTCGCTCCTGCTCTGTTCGTGGCCAAGTAATGTTCTCATGCGTGGTGGGCACGGTGTGTTTATCTGTTCATACACTGATGGAATTTGTTGTTTCGAACTTTAGGCTTTGTGACGCTGTACAAGTTGTTGCGTGGGCATACGTTTCCATTTCTCCTTGGTGTGCACCTAGGAGTGGAATTGCCAGGTCAGACGGTGAGTCCTGTTGAACCATGTGAGGAGCTGCCAGACCACTTTCCACAGCATCTGCATCATCTTGTATCCCCACCCAGGAGTGTGTGGATGGTGGGCTGGCTTCTGGACCTCAGTCTCTGCCACGTGGTACAGCATGGTGAGGGGTGCGAAGGAGCAGCTTGCCGCTCTGGGTCTCTGTGTCCTGGCGCTGAGGGCACAGTCCCTGGGCCCTGAATCGCCAGAAGTGTGCTCAGGCCTTGCCAGCCGCTCTGGGGCCCTGAGGCCCGCCTGCCCCTGCGAGCGCTTTCTCCTGTCCTCTGTGCCCTGCGGAAGGGCAAGACTACGCAACACCCACACGCCCGCGGCCGCGCCCACCTGCGACCCATGCCTGGGCCCCCTTGGGGTGCCGTCCAGGCCACCCCTGCTAGGACCCGGCCTCCCCTCGCCCCCAGACTCCAACCACCCTGCCTTCTTCCCACGCCAGTTTGCCCGCCAGCCCTCCACCACCCAGACAGATGCCACTTCTCTCCTTAAAGTGGCTCCTAGCCCCCGACTCCCTCCGCCTTTGGCTCCTCTCCCCTGGGCACCCAGGCCACGTCTCCGACTCCTTTCCTCCCGTCCATCCCACCCGGGCCGGGCCCCCTTCTGATCTGCTCTCCTTGGGGTCACCAAGCGCCTGCCCAGTCTTCGGGTCCGCTCAGACTCAAACTGCCGCTTGGCGGCTTCGATGGCTGCTCTCTCCCTCCTCCCCCTCCAGGCGCTTTCTGCACCCGGTTCCAGGACACCTGGCAACCTCCCCCTCCCTTTATTCTACTGAGGGAGGAGTCCTCACTAACACCGCTGGCACCAGGCGCTGGCACCAGGCGCTGCCCTGAGAAGGGGGTGCTGTTCTTGTCCCTGTTCTACAAGGCAGGGGGCAGGGAGGCGCTCAGGTACAAAAAGGTTAAGGAACGTGGCTTGCTTCACACAGCCGGGCTCGGAGGCCAGGCCGCTGCTTCAGGCTCTGTGCCCAGCGCGGCGCCATTCTGATGCTTCTTCCCCTCCTCTGGCCTTTGCATCTTGGCGAGACTCTGGCCCTGGTCTCCGATCTGCTTGGTGACCGCACCCAGGCAGGCTCCAGTGCCCCACACGTCTGCCCCCCCCCCCCCGGACCTCGCCCTGGACTCAACTCATATCCCAAGGTCTCCTTGACCTCTCTCCTTGGGTCACAAGGGGGTCTTTTCTGCTTTCTTTTCTTTTTCTTAATTCTTACTTATTTTCAAAGCAATCTCTAGCCCCCGTGTGGAGTTTGAACTCCCGCTCCGCCAGCGGAGCGAGCCAGGCGCCCCCAGAGCCCCTTCTAGTGGGCCGCCCACACCCGCCTCTCCCCGGCCTGCCTGGGGTCGGGGTCAGGGCGGCTCGGTCCGGCCTCCTCCTCCTCCGCCTCTCCCTTCGCCGGTCCCGTCCATCTGCAAACCCTGTGGGCTCCGCCTTCCGAACGCCAGGCCCCGCCTGCCAAGTCTCTGCCCAGGCAGCCGTCCCCTGCCCCCCGGGTCTCCCAGCTCAGACACGGAAACCCGGAAACCCGAGCTTTGCAACCCAGCCAACGAGGCCTCCCAGGGGTGGCCTCCCCTCGCCCCTTAACCTCCTGTCCGCCCCTCCCCCACAGGCCTCCTTGCTGCCAAGACACCAGGCAAAGTGCAGCCTCAGGGCCCTTGCACACACTGTACTCTCCGGCCGACAGACCTTTCTGTAGATTCCCTCAGCTTCCTCCCTGTCCTTTCGGCTTTTGCCAGAGTCTCTCTCGCTCCTTGCCTTCCCTGACCTCCTCCCCATTTGAAACTGAAAGTCTCCCACGTCGCTTAGCGTGCTCTGCCTCTTTCTCCGTAGCACTGTCACCTTCCAGCACCATTGTTTGCTGTGTCCACGGCTTCTGTCCTGTGTCTCCGGGAGTGTCTCTCTCTGTGAGGGTGACGCTCAGGGAGAAGCTCTGGATGGCCTCATGAGCCCAGGAGCTACGCCAAGCATCTCCCAAGCACGGCTGTCCCGTTATTTTTTTGTTCAAATTTTTAAAAATGTTTATTTGCTCTTGAGGAAGAGAGAGAGAGAGAGAGAGAGAGAGAGACACGGAGTGTGAGCGGGGGCGGGGCAGAGAGAGGGAGACACAGAATCCAGAGCAGGCTCCAGGCTCTGGGCTGTCAGCACAGAGCCCGATGCGGGGCTCGAACCCATGGACCATGACATCATGACCTGAGCCGAAGTCGGATGCTCAACCAACGGAGCCGCCCAGGCGCCCCACGGCCGTCCCTTTAGACTCAGCTAACTCTCTAAAACAGGGACACTTTATTTCCATTACACAGAAGGGAAAACCAAGGCTCATAGGCATTAAGTTGGACGCGGCCCACAGCAGCATGCACAGAAGGCCTCCAATGTTGTCCGGCCGTCTCTGGGAGGCGAGGAGAGCGCTGCCTCCGTCCGGCCTCAGTTTCCCCTCCCACACCTCGCCTCCTTTTCCCCAGGTTCTAAACCTGGCCCATGGAGACCAGCGTTGAGCGAAAACTACAACTCCCGAGAGGCCTTGCGGCCAAGGCCACGCGAGAACTGCCGAGGCGAGAGTGGGCGGTTCCTCTCGCGCAGCCAACCGCCGCTCTCTGAAGGCCCGGGCTGCCCTCGGCGCTGCCGCTCCCGAAGGCCTCTGGATTCAGGCGTTCGCTGTCGACAGCCCTGCACGAGGCGGATAAAGGCTCGGCGCAGGCGCAGTCGGCGAAGATACCGGCGGCTTGAGCGCGTTGTCCCGGAGCTGCGGCGGCCATGGACGACGAGGAGGAGACGTACCGGCTGTGGAAGATCCGCAAGACCATCATGCAGGTGAGCCTGCCCGGCTAAGGCGGCGAGGTCGGGCCGTGACGGGGTCCCCGCGGGGTCGGGGGGCGTGGAGGACGGCGGCGCCGACGGGCCTGCGGCCGAGGCGGGAGTCCGGCGGGGCCCTGGGAGGCCCCAGGTTCTCCCTCATGCCGGAGGGGGAAGGCGGCGGAGCCCTGCCGCTCAGGGAGGACGTCTGACCGGTGCTTCTGGCCGGCGGCTACTGCACGCCCTCGGCCACCACCTTTGAGCTCCTCGCGGCGTTCAGAACGACCACCGCCACCAGGCCGGCTGAGCGCTCAGCGCGTGCCCTGCGGTTTGCCCGCCCGCTGGGAGGGGCCAGTGCGTCCCAGGCCTGGCAGACACCCTGCCGGGACCGAACCCAGGCGGCCGCGTTCAGCCTCTTCTCACCGCTTTGCAGAGCTGCTCTGAGGCAGGGGCCAGAGCAGCCGTGCTCGGGCCCACAGCGCTGGGGGCCCAGCAGGCTCTGGAAGGACAATCACGAGGGGTCTCGTGGAGGAAAGGGGGTGGGCACAGGGCTGGGTGGCAGCCTGGGTCCTCTTCAGCCACTCGAAGAGCCCTGGCCAGCCCAGCAGCGTCCTTCCCGCCCAGACCCCAGGGCCATAGTCCTGCCGCCGCTGCTGCCCAGTCACAGCCTGTCCCCTAGACTCAGGATAAGGTGACAGCGCGTGTGTGGCAGCTGGCTACCTGGAGCAGTGCAGGGGCTCTCTTGGGTTGTGTCCTGGCCTTTGTCCCCACTTGAGCCTGTTGCACCAGGCCCCCCAAACCCTGTGTCCGCTGCGGTGGCCTCATGTGGCCTGCGCTCTTCCTGCCATCGCTCTCTGCCCTGAGGTCACTGGGTAGCTCTCTCCGCAGCTGTGCCATGACCGTGGCTACCTGGTGACCCAGGATGAGCTGGACCAGACGCTGGAAGAGTTCAAGGCGCAGTTTGGGGACAAGCCGAGCGAAGGGCGGCCACGGCGCACAGACCTCACGGTGCTGGTGGCCCACAACGACGACCCCACTGACCAGATGTTTGTCTTCTTCCCAGGTGAGGGCCTTGCGGGTCTTCGTGGCTGTGTGTGTCCTGGGCTCACGGTTCTAGGAGAGCCATCCCAGGGCCTGCTCAGGGGTCACATGGTAGCGGCTGCACGCTGTGTGACCTGTGCCTACACTGAGCCTTTCTGTTCTTCCCAGCCTGGGAAGAAAGCACCCCCCCCCCCCCCCCCCGCCGGCTCCCTTCACTGTGGATGATGCCGTTGATCTCTGATTTCTCTGAGCCCTTTCTCCAGCTTCCCTCTCCTTGGTGCCCTTCCCCACTGCTGCTTTCTCAGCCAGTTTTCTCCACCAAGATTGTCACGGGCCTCCCAGGTGGGCCCCTAGGCCCCTCGTGACCTCAGCCTCACCTGTGTCCTCTCTGGCCCCCACCCGTCAGCCCAGCCTCCAGGCTCCAGGCCTCCATTCCCTGCGGCCCCTCCTGTGCTCCTGGGGGGTCCTGGGCCCTGTCCGTTCCCCTCACCGAGCTCAGGTGCCTTCTCCAGGTTCAGTGAAGAGCGCACCGAGGGGTGTCCCGGGCCCCCTGTGTGCCTCCGTCCTAGCACTGCTCTGCTGAGGCACCCCTCTGAGGCCCGTAAGGGTTGGGAGGCCGTGTTGTGGGGTGCACATGTTGGGGGCCCAGCCCACTGCCCAGAGTCAAGGGGGTAGCAGACGTTTGCAGAATGGACCCAGGTGGTGTGAGGCGTGTTTACTGGGAGGCCTTGGTGCCTGACCGTGGTGTCCCTGTGTCGCTGTCTCAGCCTCCCGAGAATGGGGGCGTCCAGGTTCTCTGCTGCGTTAGTCCCCGGAGCACCACCGGCCTGGTGGCCTGAGCGTCCGCCATCACTCTCCTCCCGGTGCCTGAGGCAGGCAGTCTGAGACCAGGGCGTCGGCAGGGCTGGCGGTCTCTGAGGCGTCTCCTGGTGTGTGGGTGGCCGCCTTCTCCCTGTGTCTTCACACGGCCGTTTCTCTGCGTCTCATTTTTCATGTCTCAGGACGGCAGTGGTTTTGGGTTAAGGTCGACCCTGATGACCTTGTGTAAGCTTAGCTTTGTTTCCAAATGCAGTCGTGTTTGAGGTACCGGGGGGGTCAGGACTCTTAATGCCAGGGTTCAGGGGGACACAGCTCAGCCCGTGATGCTGCCCGTTGCTGGAGCGAGGGTCTGAGGAGGGTGTCATGGCGGAGCGGCAAGCAGAGGCCTGGCCAGGAGCCCCTCGCGGGCCCCGGCACCCAGGCTCTGCTCGTCTGCTGGGCTCCCGGGGTACGGCGGCCCTGCACGGCCGGGCTCTGGGCCTGTGCGCCATGGCGGGTGCCAGTGCCCCACCGGCAGTGCAGGGACGGGAGGCGGTCTCTGTGGTGGGCCCTCGGCTCTCCTAGATGCATCTGGGGTTCCCAGACGCGGGAACCCCTGAGGCGCCGGGCCACGTGACTCCCAGATCCTCCTTCCAGGAAGGCTCCAGTAAGTCCGGGTACAGACTTTCAGCTCCCCAGGTGTCGTGGAGGCGGCCAGCCCCCTGCTGTGGGAACCAGCAATCTGCCTCCTGTTGTGTTATGTGGGGAAACTGAGGCCCCAGAGAGAAGGGGCCGTTCCGGAGTGGCACGGAGATGCCTTGGCAAAGTAGACCTAGCGTCCGGGTGCCCAAGAGGGAGGGTGAGCGTGCCCGCAGGACAGGAGGGGTCCCGGCAGTGCAGACCACTGTGCCTTCCGCCCCCAGAGGAACCTAAGGTGGGGATCAAGACCATCAAGGTGTACTGTCAGCGGATGCAGGAGGAGAACATCACCCGCGCCCTCATCGTGGTGCAGCAGGGCATGACCCCCTCCGCCAAGCAGGTGGGTGGCCCCCAGGTGCTGAGCCCGCCTGCCTCCCGTTCCGCGTGAGCCTGTGTGCCCTACGTCCCTTCCTGCCACGGTTCCTCTCGGCTCCTGCCGGTCTTCAGCCGTCCTGATGGGGCCCCAGGGACTGGGATCTGAGAAGGAGCGGCTGGCCCGAAAGCGGGGAGGGCAGTCGGTGTCCCGCCTGTGGCCAGGTGGAATGGAGGCCCGTGTCTGGGACGGAGGACCAGTAAGCACCCTGGTCCCCGTCCCTGTGCTGGGGGCTGCGGGCACTCCCAGCCGCATCGGCTCAGGGACCGGGAGCGTTTTGTCAGAACCGTGAGCGTCCTCTGGGTTGTCGCCGCGACACCAGCCTGAGGCCTCAGAAGCGTGTCGGGCGGGCGTGCTCTTGTCTAGAGGAGCCCAGCCAACCAGCGTGCGGTTTCCTGAATTACGACGCTGGGCAGAGGCCCAGGGCGTGAAAGCAAAGGCTTCCCACCTTCTGCCCTCTTCCAGCCTCCAGGGAGGAAACGGTGGGGTGGTCTTGGCTCCCGGCTGTGCCTGAGGGTCGGTCTCTCTTCCAGTCCCTGGTTGACATGGCTCCCAAGTACATCCTGGAGCAGTTTCTGCAGCAGGAGCTGCTCATCAACATCACCGAGCATGAGGTAGGGGCCCCGGGGATCCCCACCCAGACGGAGGGAGGCTGCGAAGGAAGCGGGAGGCAGAGCTGTGGCGCTTGCCCGAGAGTAGGATGGCGGAGGGGGTGCATCCCCGGGGACTGGGCGCTCCTGCTTCGTGGAGAGCTGCTCTGGTGGTGGAATAGAGCAGGGCTCCCCAGGTGTGGTCCCAGGGGTGGCGGCAGCACCTGGGAACTTGCCAGGAGTGCAGATCCCCAGGCCTGCTTGGCCTGAGCATCTGGAAGCTTGGGGGTGGGGATGGGGCCCCTTCTGTGTGCGCGGCGGGGGGCCTGTCGCACCCGCAGAGACGCAGCTTCTCTCGCAGCTGGTTCCGGAGCACGTCGTCATGACCAAGGAGGAGGTGACCGAGCTGCTGGCCCGGTAGTATCCTTTCGGCCCCTCTCCTGCCCCCCCCCCCCCCATCAGCGGAGCCTGGCTTTTTCCCTGACTGAGCTGCTCAGTAAACTCCGAGAGAACCAACTGCCCAGGATCCAGGCCGGTGACCCGGTGGCCCGCTACTTTGGGATAAAGCGGGGGCAGGTGAGGAGCCCCCCTGCCCCTCGCCCTGCTCCTTGCGCGCCCCCCACCCCCACCCTGGGTGCACTGTGAGCCCCGCGTGCCCTTAGCCAGTGTCCCCCGCTTTTGCCCCTGCGCAGGTGGTGAAGATCATCCGGCCCAGCGAGACCGCGGGCAGGTACATCACATACCGGCTGGTGCAGTAGGCGTCCCGCTCCCGGGTGAGCCGCGCTGTGCGGGGCCGTGCGGGGAGGGCCCCCTCCGTCGGGAGCGAGCGCGCCCCCCCCCACCCCCTCTGGGCTGTGGGCTGAGAGCCCCTTCTCCCCGCTCCCCAGGGTCCTCCTGCCTGGAGGCAGCGGCTCAGGCTGGTCTCTGCTCGGACGACAGACGGCGTTCTTCCTCCCGTGCACGGCCTGGACTCCTCTCCCGGGCGGAGGGCGTGGCGGTGGGCCTGCCCTCTGGGAACCAGACCCCCTGGAGCCTCCCCGCTGCTCTTCGGCACCCCCGTGCTGAAGGTCTGTGCGGCCTCCGCTGGACCCCGCGGCGCCTCCGGAGGGAACCGGCCGCCGCCCGGTGACAGACCGCAGCGCTGGGTCCAAGTCTCCGGCCCCCAACACCATGTGGTCCCGTGCCCTGTAGGGTGGCCCCAGGGCCTTCTGTGAGCACGCCAGTGGCGGCAGGGAGCCAGCTGCTGCTTGCTGCGGGGGCGGGGGGGGGTGTGTGAAATTGGAAGGTATTTGAGTAAATAAATTGGCCGGTCTGAGAAAGGCAGGATGACAGGTTTGCGACGAGTGGCCTGGCCTGAGGCTCCGGACCCCTCAGGAGAACTCGGGGCCCCTTGGTTCTGTGGCACCTGCTCCCCAAGGGTGGCCGTCCGTGCTCGTCCCGCCCGAGTCTGCAGTGGGCGTGGGCGGCGCGCCGGGCCCTGTCCCCTCCTGAGCCGCCTCGTTTTCCGGGTGCTCGCCCCGCACAAAGGTGCGCGGTGTCCTGCGGGGCCTGTTGCAGGAAGTCTTCCCGGGCCGGCTTTTCACTCTGTTGTCGTAACTGCTTTACGGGATAGAACTTCCATGCCACGCAGATCACCCGTTCGCAGCGCACCGCTCGGTGGCTTTTAGCACCGTCAGGGTTAGAACTTGTCCCCCGGAGGAAACCTCGTCCCCGTCCCCGTCCCGCCCCCACGAGCCCCTTCCGTCCGTGGAGGAGCCTGTTCTGGACGCGTCACGCACGTGGACTCGCACCCGCGTGGCCTCACGTCTGGTTCCCTCCCTGAGCGCTGTGTGTTCGGGGCCGTCCGCGGGGCGGCGGGTGTGGGCGCCTCCTGCTTGCGGCTGAAGGGCGTGCGCGGCGGACACGCCAGGGTATCGGCTTCCCCACCAGCGGACCGTGAGCTGTTCGCGGGTTGGCAGAGTAACGTTGCTGTGGGCGTTCGTGTGGGAGTTCCGCGTGGACGTGCCTTTTCATCTTTTCCGGGTGTGTATCTGGTAGTGGAGGCCGGGTGCCCGTTGGAGAAACTGCCGGGTGGGTGGCGGCGCTCGCGCCCACCGCCCGCCGCGGCTTCCCTGCAGGGAGCCGGTCCTCAGCGCCGTCGTGGCTGCCTTTCCCCGACGCCCAGCCGCACCGTGCGGCTGTCGTGTGCTTCTCGGCCATTTGCACGTCGTCTTTGGAGGGAAGTCTGTTCAGATCCTTCGCCTGTGGGGGGAGCGGGCTGGCTGTCCGTCTCCCCAGGCTGTCTATGTGCACAGGTCCTTTATCAGATAGTGGTTTGCAAAACCTTACCGTTTTAATTTCGTAAATATCTGTCATAACCTCGGTATGTTTGCACGTGGTCTTGACTTCGGGGATTTGCCCCTGGGGTGGAATGACTCAGGGATGCCTGTTTTCTCCCGAGGACAGACGGTGCTGTCGACACTTTGAATATCTGGCGGGGCCTTATCGCCCAAATCACCACGGTCTCGATTTGCAGGTCGACAAGGGTCTGTTTCCGGGTCCTCCTGTCTATGGATCAGTCCTGGTTTTGCAAGCTGACAGCTTTGTTGTGTGTCTTAGGGGGGTTCATGTTTCCCTTGCCCCTCCAAACATACATACGTTGTTTGTCAAAGTAGGCCAGACACAGAGGAGACGTCCTGCGTGACCCCACTCCCAGGGGGTCCCCAGAGGCGTCCCGTCCACAGAGACAGAGAGTAGGTGGTAGGACCCAGGGCTGGGGCGGGGGGCGGGGAGTCAGTGCTTTGTGGAGACCGGGTGTCAATATGGGGCGATGGAAAGTTCTGGAGACAGATGGTGGGGGCGGCTGCGCGACAGTGTGAGTGCTTGATGGCACTGAGCTGTGCTCTTAGAAATGGTGTGTGTTCTGTATATTTTAATCACGGGGGAAAAAAAAACCCTTGGTTACTGTGTTTTTCCTCCCACAATGGGGTTTTGTGTTTTTTCTGTTTGTGAAAAGTTGGTATGCTTATTTATTTTGTGAGAACAGAGCTGATTACTGCGTAGCTGACAAGCGTTATGGGCTGTGCAGCTGAAGTTAATGGGACTCTTGGTTTTTCTTGAATATGGACTTCGTACAGGAACTGGGCGCCTGGGGGGTCACTTGGTTAAGCGTCTGACTCTTGATTTCGTCTCGGGTCACGATCTCACAGTTGGTGAGTTTGAGCCCTGCATCGGGCTGCACACTGTGGGGTTCCCTCCCAATCTGCCCCAGCCCTGCTCACGCCCGCTCTCTCAAAACAAGTGAACTTAAAAAGAATACGTAAAAAATCCTTTTGCTTTTGGTGGAGTCTGTTTTGTCTCTGAAGCTGGGTGCGCACCTGCCCCGTCTCACAGGAAGGACTCTCACCAGGTGGGCAGTTTCAGGCCAGGGAGGCCGTGGACCTTCCTGTCAGTGTGGTGCAGGGGGGCTCGTACCTCAGTTCCATGCCGTCCTTCCAGAAGCACCTGGCATCCCTTTGAGAACTCGCCCGTTTACTTGGGGAGCCGGTCCTGCCTGTGCCTTTGACCACAGCCTGTTCCAGGCTCCCAAGGTGGTTTGGATCGGGTTGCTGTTTAGACACCTGCCTCAGGTCTCATGGATGAGGTGCCCCCTCCTTGGATACAGGTGGACTGAGGACGGGGCCCAGCTTTCCCACGGCCCCAGGCCCCTGTGATATGCCGGAGCCTGGATCAAGCCTGGCCTGATGCTGACATGAGTAAGTTACCAGGCCCCTCGTGAACAGCAGCCCGAGCCCTTCGTTTACAGGCCCGGCCAGACTTCAGAGGATGCTTTTCATGACCCTTGCTGTTTGTCTCACGCTCCCAAGTAGAAAGCTGCCGTCTGCCTGAACGTCAAATCCAGTTAAAGGGTGTTATCTGAGCATGTTAATTTTTTTAATTTTTTGTTTCTTTGTTTATTAGAGAGAGAGCCCATGGGACGCCTGGGTTGCCCAGTCGGTTAAGCGCCCGACTTTGGCTCAGGTCATGATCTCACAGTTCGTGGGTTCGAGCCCCACATCGGGCTCTGTGCTGACAGCTCAGAGCCTGGAGCTGCTTCAGATTCTGTGTCTCCCTCTCTCTCTGACCCTCCCCTGCTCATGCTGTCTCTCTCTCTCTCAGGAATAAGTAAAACATTTTAGAAATTTTTGAAAAAAAAAAAAAGAACCCATGAGCTGGGAGGAGCAGAGAAGGAGAGAGAGAATCCCCAGCAGGCTCCAGGCTGTCCGCCCACAGCCCGACGCGGGGCCTGATCCCATGAACCACGAGATCATGACCTGACCCAAAATCAACAGTCGAATATTCTACCGCCTGAGCCCCCAGCTGCTCCTCTTCTGACCTTTTCAAAGTGTATCCCGGCTGGGCTCGTTTCCACGAAGAGCCAGATGGTGGTGTTTCTGGCTCTGGGCCAGGGGGTCCCTGCTGCATTCAGTCTGTGGGGACACAGGCCCGAGGTAGCCGCAGGCAGTACATGATGAGGCTCAGTATCGGGCTGTTTGCCGGCTCAGTCATCTCCTTTTCTGGATCTTTCTTAGCTGTAGGGACGGCCGGACTGGCCGTTGCAGAGCATTCTGACTGGCGCCCCCGCTACTCTCTAAGCCTGGGCTGAACCGCAGGCTCTGGGCCCGCTCTGTGTCCGCAGAGGAAGGCCCCCCTCGCCCCTTGATGGGCGTGAATTCCATCTGCTTCTCCGCTGCCCTGCCATCCTCGGTCCAACATAAATCCAGCTTGGGGGGTGGTCTCTGGGCTTGGTGAGAGGTCAGTAACAGGAGTTGGGGGGGGTCCTCATCGCTCCAGGCCGAGGGTTCATGGTGCCGTCCCGGGAGGTGGCCACAGAAGTTTAAACCTGTCCCTCAGGCACGCCGGCTCCATTTCCAGGGCTGGTGGCTGCCGCACTGGATGATGAATTGACGGTGTTTTGTTCATCTGGAAGGTGCTGCCGAACGGTGCTGGGCTAGATGTTCTCTGAAGTGGCTGCTTGGGGTCAGTGTCTGCACGGCTGGCCTCAAAGGCAGCTGGGCTCACGGGCTCCGGTGGGACTTGCCTTGCTCACGCTCGTGTCCAGCGTGGAACTGAGGAGACACTAAGGACCTCCGTGTCCCCAGCCCCAGCCTGCCGCCGCCAAAGAAGATAGGCTCAAATTTAAAACTTTATTTTAGGCAGAATAAACGTGTGTGTGTGGAAGACGTGCATCGTGACCAAGGCTGACCGCGCCCCGCGCCTCAGCCCCACGCACCTCGACTCCGTTTTCCAGGAAAGCAAGGGCCTGAAGCTGCCACCTGGTTCTGCTGTCTGGCCTCCACATAGTGGCTTTCTGGGGTGACCCAGCAAGGGGAGGCCGAGGCAGAGCCTGTGGCCCTGAGGGCGGCCGGCCACGCGGCACGGGGCTGGGTCGAGTGGTGAGCGGGACCTCCCAGCGGGCTGAGTCGGGCCGCCAGGGCACACGGGCAGACGGAGCGGGCCTCAGCCTCACCCTGTGCCCCAGGAGCTTCAGGAAAAGGCAGCCGGCGATGCCCTCACCGGTACGGGCTTGAAGGAAGAGGCCTCACGGTGACGATACCCACGGGGACAGGAGCCAGAACCATGACTCTTGGCCCTCAGCCACCCGACTGCTGTGCCCAGCGCCCCAGCTACACAAACTCAGGCTGCCTCTCAGGGCTGGTGCCCGCCGCTGTCTGCCCGCCGTGGAGCCACGGGACGGGCAGCTCGACCTCGGCCACGTTGTTGCACTGGTTGGTGTTGAACTCGGAAAGCTGCTGCTCCGGGCCCTCCCCGGCCCCCAGCTGCTCCTCACTGCCGCTGCGGCTGCCCGGGCCCTCCTCCACGCTGGCCTCGCTGCCCGGCTTCTCCAGGAAGCTGAGACGGGCCGCGCCCCTGCCCGCCGGGGACAGCAGCTCCGAGCTCTCCTCCACCTCAGAGTCAGAGTCGTTGGAGGCCACTTGGGATTCTGCGAAGTCAAAGGTGGGGCAGGCGGTAGAGATGGGACAGAGGTGCTGTGACCAGGGGGGCCCAGGGGCCCCCGCCTGACCTGCTGTCCCTCCCAGGCCCACTCCCTGCCTGGGGACCGCCCACCCGCAGCCAGGGGTGCGGGCTCGACGCCCAGGGCCGCTGCCGCGTTTGGGGCCCCTGCTCTGGTGTCTGCGGCACCTCGAGCGGCGTCTCTGCTGCTGTTTGCATCAAATTAACAGTTGGCAGACGAGACGTTTCTGCCCGTGGGGTGCGCGGCCTCTGCTGCCACACCATCTGCCAGCGGGCACCTGGGCCGCCCTGCTCACCTGGGCCCTCGTCCGCAGCCTCGTCCTGGGGCGGGAGGGCAGCCCCCGCGCGTGGCGCCTGCGTGCCGTCCTCCCCCCGCCGGTCGTCCGCGTCCCCCTGCGGGCGGCAGAATACAGTCAGCCGGGGCTCTGTTCTCTGGCCTCTTCACACCGGTGCGGCCTGATGCCACGCTGGCCTGGGCCGCGGGCAGGCAGCTGCAGCCAGCAAGGCTGAGGTCCCGGGGGGCCACCAGCATGTCCCGGACACACACACCCTGGGAGAGGGCCTTCCATGGGGACTGGGTGCGCGAGCACGAGGCTCGGGGACGCAGCACAGCAGCTGGAGGACAGGAGACAGCAGCCGGGTGGGGCGGGGCGCCCAGCGGGGCAGCGCGTGGGAGGCGGACGGGGCTGGGTCACGTGCAGCCCCGTGCGAGGTCCGAGGTGGGGTCCAGAGGCAAATGGAAGAGGCGCAGCCTCAGGACCTTTGCACCAACAGTGGCCCTCCACCAAGGATCAAGCCCGCCCTGCATCAGTTTTTTGCTTAAAAGATGCCTCCGAGGCTGCTTCTGACCACCCTGCTCAAAGCAGGCACGTCAAGTCATTCCGTCTCTGGGGGTCCCGTGGCAGGTCCCATGGTGGGTCCCATGGCGCTCACGGAGCCCCGCTCCCCACCCCCCCTACCGCCACAGAGCCATCAGCCCTGTGGCCTGCCCCCACCCTCACCTGCCCCCCAGGCACCTCTTCGGGCTCCTCCTCGAAGACCAGGTCATAGTGGGCAATGAGGGCCTCCACGATGCGGGCCTGGTGGGGGTAGTCCACCAGCGAGGACAGCGACACGGTGGCCTCGGTGGGCCTCGGCCGCAGCAGCGTGGGCCCGAACACGATGCCCAGGTTCCCCGGGGTCATCTTGTTGTCCTGTTCCACCTCCACGATCCTGGGGGCCACGGGGGTGCGGGAGCAGGTGTGAGGGGCCCCCAGGGCCCGCAGCCCAGCCCCCGCCCGGCCGGCCGGCCTCACCTGCGCAGGTGCCGCAGCAGGTACTGCAGCGTGGCCTTGTTCTCGGGCGGCAGGCCCTGTAGGAGCTCGCGCAGCCGGCCCGCCATGGCCACGGCCGCGGCCTCGCTCTCGGCGGCGTCCGGCCGCCCCCGGGACGCCGCCTTGGCTTCGGCCTCGGCCTTCAGGTTGTCCTTGGCCAGTCCCACCAGCTCGTGGTAGAGGCGGAAGGAGATGAGCGGTTCGGGCAGCTGCAGGGTGACGGGTGATGGGTCGGGTGGGGTCAGGGGACCCCCCCAGCCCAGCAGCGCCGCCCCCCCCGCCCCCCAGGCTCGGCGAGCACTCGGCCCCACCTGGCGCAGGTAGAGTTTGAGGACGTTGCTGACGTCGTGGGGCGAGGCCTGGGACAGCTCCACCAGCTCCTTGCCGTTCTCGAAGGCCTGGCACAGCTTCTCCACGCGCGTCTTCACTCCGTTGACGCGGTAGATGCCCTGTGGGGGCCGCGGTCAGCACAGCCCACGCCCACCGCCCCCCGGGATGGGACTCCCTCCGCTGCCCAGGGCTGGTCACCTTGGTGTGCAGCGCCCGCTGCTCGATCTCACAGATGCACTTCTTGACAATGAAGGGCACACCGTCGGGCGCGCTGCGGGCCGCCGGG